CCAACTACAATGTTTCAATTTTCTTTGGGTTCCAAATCCCACCTCTATACATATAATTATCAATATTAACTACAATTATATATGCCCATCATGTGTCTCGTGCTCTCTAACATTGATTTGCTTCCTTAAATCCCTGCAGTCTGATTACAATTTGATCAATGTAATTCATAAATGAAATATTTTTTTGCAAAATTGATGTATCCATCTCAGCATGCGATAATATCATCGAATACAACATTATAAGAACGTAAAACCCTTTTGAGATATGGTTAATCAAAATTTTGTTTGAAATTTGAAAGGAGTTCCATTTCAATTTATACGTACTTTTTAATATTTAGCCAAGTAAAAGGCATATTGGTTCTTTTTATTTACATTTGTCATCTTATTTTATAACAAATTGATGATAGGTGTATGCATATATGTTATAATTCTTATATCTAAATATTATTTCTTAATATAAATATGTTGTCTCGAATAATATGATAAATCGTCAAATTTATCTAAACATAATACTAATTTGTATGAAATTTATGTATTTTATTCCATTGACAGCATTATTGTGCTCATGATTATCATAATCCTCGTGCTATGATAGATATTTCCATGAATATCTTAGCTTTTATTTAAAGTCATGGAATATTTAGATAAACATGAGTATTTTATTTTTCATACCACTCTAAAGCTCTGTTATGCTTAAGTCACTCCCTCAAGAGCCTTAATAACTAAAGCATCCACGTTCTTTTCCATGAAATAATCTTGACGTCATCATTAATTATTGATTCAAGTTATTTTAAGTATTCCAGTACTAAAAAAAAATTACCACGATAATTTATAGGTAAGGATCATGATCTCATCATAATGGTGCCTAACACTCTAAGAAAATGATAAAGTACTTTGTACCTTAAAGATGTTATTACCCAAGAGATGACAGAATATCTAATACTTTAGAGTCAAGTGGATGTTTAAACATCTCGAAATGACTAAGAGCTTAATAACTAACCCTTAAGAGAAAATTAATACGTTAAATCAATGATACATTTTTTTTTTTTTTAATTTTACTTGAATATTATAGAGGATTGTAGAAAAATTAAAAACTCTCTAGAAAATTTTAGAAGATATTAAAAGAGAATTCTATAAGATGATAAAAGATTCTAGAAACTTGTAAAATTGTATGGAAGAAAGAGAGAAAATATAAGGTTGTGTAAAACTATAGAAAAAGAAAAAATTTACAGATTCTCCTTAAGACATCTATAAATACATGTAAAGACATCATTTGGAATATTTTTTAAATAAAGAGAACTACTACTATCCTTAGTCTCTAACTCTAAAACTTATTAACACTCACATCCAACAACTATAACTATGAAATCGATACATACAAATCACTTTTCACACAATATATATAAATTATTTTTCAACTATAACTTTTATACTTTTAAAATTTATATTAATATCAAACAAAATCTAACATAATATTTAGAGATAACAGAATATTTTTAATATTAAAAGAGATAATTTCGTGTACTACAAACATTCAATGATAAGAGTGGATATAAATTTTTTTTCTTCTCCAATTTAAAATGGAGATGATGTCGGGCAAATATCCATTTTTAAATAAGATGTAATGTTAAATTTACATCGCACCCAATAAAAATCTATTACAAAGTTTCAATCGAGATAACCAAATTGATATGTATGGTACGAGCATATAAATATTGGTAGTAAATGAGTTTTGATAGCTAATAATAGTGAGATACGATTTGCGCAACTATAGATAACGAAATGATTTTTTTTGTATTAAAAATTTAGCATTCATTTTATGATTTTAAAGATCTTCTTATTATTAAAAAAAAAAAAAAAAAGAGAGCCATATAATCTTTAATATTTAATGGCTAAATGTCTCGTTATATATTTTTAGATGTATGAAATTAAAAAAAAAAAAACGAAAAAAGAGATTTTTTGGTAAACCGAAGAATGATACGTATGTCCTATAGACCCATAAGTTCGAACCATGATCACGAAATTAACTCGTCCAAAGGAACATTAAATCTGCAGTTTGTTGACACACGACGGCTGCCTCATATAATGCCCTTACGGTACAAACTAAAATAAGTAATTAACCATGGGTAAGAACTACTATTTTTCCAGCGACGTGGGTGGGTAAATTTATCAGCCTCCAATTCGAGACGAGTGGGTTTCAATGTCATGCCCGTAATAGGCCTGTTAAGAGTTGAAATCTGAAGAGCCTCGTCACTCTGTCATTGTTGGTTTACGAAGACAGGAGTGAAGAAAAAAGACAATCGAAAGGTTAAAACCTTGGGTAATTTTGGCATAAGAAGACTAATTATTTATGGCTAGCTGTTTCCAAGGGAAATTAGGGAGATTAATGGATGGATATTTTTGTCATTTTGTAGCATTAAATACCGTCTGTTCTTTTCTCTGTGTTAGGTCAATTTTTCATAGCATGAGTGTCCATAAGCTTACTTCGAGTCTTGGGGGTCCGTCCCCCCCACATAATTCATATACATATAAAGATATATGTATATCTATGTATGATTAGGCTAATTTCATCGAACCACTTTTACCCTTTTGTTTTCTGATTGGACCCCCCCCCCCCCCCCCCACATAATTTCCTTCATATACATATATATATATATGTGTATGTATATGTATATCTATGTATGATTAAGCTAATTTCATCAAATCCCTTTTACCCTTTTTTTTTTTTTCTTTTCTGAATTGCTTTTAAATAAAGTTATACCAACAAAATAATGCTTCTGGGATCAACAAATTTGAATTGAATAGTCAGTAACTCTTAAATTGTTTAAGGAAAATATATTATACATTTTTTTTAACTAATATAATGAAAATGTATTTTTCAGAATGAAGAAAAATAAATTTTGAGAAGATAATATCATAAAACTTTATTTTGAAACATGATTTATCTAAAATTTATATTTTTTGTTGAATTATTTTATTTTTATTATTAATTAATTACATATATTTCAACAATTAGTTGAATGCTTTAAAAATGCAAGTTAATTTACTTCTTATCATATTACCAAAAAAAAAAAATTACACTTATCCCTTAATTATTATTTGATTTCTTACTAACTCATCGTACTAATTTAAAATTTTAAAAATATGCTTCATAATAATTTTCTTCTCTGTGTAATAAATTATGAATTTCAATCAGATTGTTTGTTCTTGTATATTTTTAATTAAAAAATTATATTATAATTAATAAATATTTCTCACATAATATGAATTTTAATGCATATTACATCAAGAAACACAAATATTTTGTAAAAGATGCATAATTTTATTTTACTTGAATTTTCTTTTCATAAATTAAATTGTATCTGGGATTAAAAAGAAAAAAAAAAAAAAAGGAACTCATTGAAATTCAATATATCCTTTGGGTAAGAATATATATATATATATATGTATGTATATATGTATTTACATATAATTGTTGCATGTGAAATTCACATTATTTACTCTTCATGATTTAAAAGAACAAGAAAAAGAAAAAGAAAAGATGAAGGACATGCAGCTTTTGCTTTTTGAAAAGCTTATAGCTTTTTTTTTTTTTTAATAATTTTATTTTTATTTTTTTGTGGGAAGGACTGCCTGCAGCCTGCTGACAAAGAAAAACAATGCTGGTGATTGTAGTGGTTTATGGAATCTCCAGAAACTACATTTTTTTTTTCTCTCTTTTATTTTTTTAACTATAAATGTAATTTTTATTAAAAAAATAATAAATTTTTGATAAAATTAATTTTAGAACATATTTTTTTTTAATTATGTACAAATCTTTAATTATTTTAACTAGATATGGTTGATTAGGAAAAGTTATTCTTAATACAAGAAAAATGGTGTATGTACTTGGATTTTACAGCTCAAAAGAGAAGATAATCAAATTGGCAGCAAGAAATATGAAATATAAAATTAGGAAATTCAATATTATATAAATAGGAAAGAACAAAGATACTCAAGGGGGTGGGTCATGATCATGAACAAATTTGGTGGGTGACCAAATCCATCATCAATCTCGAGTCCCCCACCCCCTCAATTTCCTCCTCGAGATTCTCACATTCCCAATTTTATTAACCCTAATCCTAATTACCCATTAAATTTAATTAGGGTTTTTGGGTGTTTTACTGAATAGCCAAACTCAGGGAATGTTGGATTCCCTCCCCCATTGATCCAAGTAAAGCATTTCCCTTCTACCCAAAAGAAAAAAAAAAAAAAAAAGGGTAAAAGCCTTTTTCTTTTTTACTTATATAAAAACTAAAGCATATATATAATCACTTTTAATAATTAAAAGACATATATGCTCTCTCTCTCTGCCCATCTTGTGTTTGTGCAAATTTAAGTAATGCATAAACCAATAAAGGTGCTTCTTGAGATTTACATTTTCATGGATGTATATACTTGGGTATAAAGACATTGGCTATATCCATCTATAGGGAATAAGACACATTTCTCTCTCTACGTGTATTTTTCTTTAGTTCACTTAATTCTATAATAAACCAAATGTGTTTTAGCTCCGTATCAACTAAGAATTAATTTATAAGTAACGTAAAAAATTTGATTCCTAAGACCAAATTATGGAAATCTTTTTTTGTAAAGTTACTAGTCTGTTGCAAAAAAAAGTAAAATTTTGAATGCACAAAGTCGATGTGAGAGTATGCAGATTAGATTATTTGGAAGAAGATTTTATCTCGTAAGAAAATACCTTTATAGCTAAATAACAAGAGATTTAATCTTAACAGCAAATCAATTTTTGTCCCCCTTTTTAGCTCTAAACTGTTACAGTACTATGAAAAAGACAATATACATATATATATATGTATATGTATGTATTTTTATGTATATGCCTTTCTTAGAAAAGGGAAAAAAGCATTACTAACAATGGGGGTAAAGAGGAAATTCCCATTCTCTCCCTTCAATTTGAATATAAACTAGATTTTGGTTGTTTTGTTCTTTTTAGGGTGATGGGTGTTATATATTCTTTTTCCTGATGCAGTGACAGGCATGCTACTCCACTTTACACTACCAATGAAACTGTTGTTTTATATCTTTTTTCTTTTTCTTTTTTTTTTCTATTCCAATGGTCCTGACACAAGATTTTAGTGAATGGATTTCTAGTATGTGCAAAGCAACAACTGCTACTTGATCTGAAAATTGCCTGAAAAACAATACAAAACCTAATTTTCAAACCAGGTTTTTAGTGCTGCTGATGAAATAAACTTAGTTCTGGCAACTGGGTTGCTACTATTTCTTGTTAGTTTCAATTTTCAATTCAATGGGAATCGGAAGAAATGAAGCTTCTCTTTATTTTCTGGCTTTCTTGTGGTTTCTGGGCTTTGCGGATGGATTGCTTTCTGATAAAGGAGTGAACTATGAAGGTAATTTGAGTTTCAGAATTTCATTGCTCTTCCTCTCTGTCTGCTTTTAGAAACACAAGTGAACATTTTTCTTAATGGGTATTTTCTGTTTTCAGTGCAAGCTTTAATGGATATAAAAGCTTCTCTTCATGACCCTCATGGAGTTCTTGAGAACTGGGATAAAGATGCTGTTGATCCATGTAGCTGGACTATGGTTACTTGTTCGCCAGAAGGCTTTGTCATTGGCCTGTAAGCTCTTAATAATACCTCTGCATTTTGTTCTAAACAAAGTTCTCCAATAAAAAAAATCAGCACTTATCATATTCTTGTCATAGTTGTGAAAATGGCTGGCTATACGTTGCAGGGGCACTCCTAGCCAGAATTTGTCTGGTACTCTATCTCCCAGCATAGGCAACTTAACAAATCTTCAAGTAGTGTAAGTATCTGCAGAAGAGATATGGTGCTTTGGCGCAGAGAATGTTTGATTTTCTGTCAAGAGTTTTTCAATTTTGTGTAATATTATGCAGATTATTACAGAACAACAACGTATCTGGACCAATACCTGAAGAGCTAGGAAAGCTAGTCAAGCTTCACACACTTGATCTTTCTGATAACTTTTTCTCTGGGAAAATTCCTTCTTCTTTAGGACAATTGAGAAGCCTCCAATACTTGTAAGAAGAAGATTTTATGATTCCATCTTATCTAATATGAATCTTATGAGGTCTGAATTTGACATTTACTTCTCTGATATCGAATTTAGGCGGCTGAACAATAACAGTCTGTCTGGAACATTTCCTCTATCCTTAGCTAACATGACCCAGCTTGCCTTTCTGTAAGTGCCTCTAAGTTATTCTTGTTCTTCTGTTTGCCTCTGTTAAAATTCCCAGTCTTGGTTATGATAATATATGTTTTCCTTTTTTTGTTAATTTCAGCGATTTGTCATACAATAACCTCAGTGGCCCAGTACCCAGATTTGCTGCTAAGACATTCACGTAAGTCTTTCTTGATTTATGGCTATATCTCCCTCACCAATTTGTATTAGGGTTTTGAACTTTGCTTCCGCTTTCTTTTTCTGCAGCATTGTTGGGAACCCTTTAATTTGTCCAACTGGGTCTGAACCAGACTGCAACGGAACAACACTCATGCCAATGTCTATGAACCTGAATAGCACAGAAAGTATGGATTTCTAAATTCTGTTTTTGTTTTCTGAAACTTCAATTTGGAACCATTAATGATCAAGTGTTCTGATGTATATTCTGTTTGTTCTTAAAGCCAGTTTATTATATCCGGGAACACCTAGAAGTCATAAAGTGGCTGTTGCTTTTGGATCAAGTGTTGGGTCTGTCTCCCTCCTCATTCTTGTATTTGGATTACTTCTTTGGTGGAGGCAAAGACGAAATGAGCAGATTTTCTTCGATGTCAAAGGTTTGTCACAAGACTTTTAACTGTAAGACAATTGTGACACTTGTTAGAATAGTAGTCAAGCAACAAGTAATTGGTGATGTCTTCTTGAAAATTTTTCAGACCGACACCATGAGGAGGTTTCCCTTGGCAATTTGAGGAGGTTCCAATTCAGGGAACTTCAAATTGCAACAAACAACTTCAGCAGCAAGAACATACTCGGAAAGGGTGGTTTTGGGAATGTCTACAAAGGAATTCTCACAGATGGGAGTGTTGTAGCTGTGAAGAGGCTCAAAGATGGGAATGCTGTTGGAGGAGAGATTCAATTTCAGACAGAAGTTGAGATGATCAGCCTAGCAGTACATCGTAACCTACTCAGGCTGTACGGATTCTGCATCACACCCACAGAAAAGCTTCTAGTTTACCCCTACATGTCAAATGGCAGTGTTGCTTCGCGTCTCAAAGGTATAATCCATAACACATACTATCAACTGAATTGCCATTTTGGAATGACAACAGCTTCCTCAACTAGGCCTGAAATTTTTGTTTGACAGGAAAACCAGTCTTGGACTGGGGCACCAGGAAGAAGATTGCCTTGGGAGCTGCAAGAGGACTACTATACCTCCACGAGCAGTGTGATCCAAAGATAATTCACAGAGATGTTAAAGCTGCAAACATACTGCTTGATGATTATTGTGAGGCAGTGGTTGGAGATTTTGGATTGGCGAAGCTTTTGGATCACCAGGACTCACATGTCACAACAGCAGTCAGGGGAACCGTAGGGCATATAGCCCCGGAATATCTTTCTACAGGCCAGTCATCAGAGAAAACAGATGTCTTCGGATTTGGTATCCTCCTCCTTGAACTAATCACAGGCCAAAGAGCCCTAGAGTTTGGGAAGGCAGCTAATCAGAAAGGTGCCATGCTTGACTGGGTGAGTACCAGTTTATATCAGATTTCACTTTGTTAGGACATATTTAAATGTTGAAGTT